GTCTAACGGCAACTTTGAGCCATACCGTCTGTGAAGGTTGAGCAGCAGGGGCGATATGAAAGATCGTGGTCGAGCTGCAGCAATAATTGCTTGGAGCTATATTAGTTGTCTCCTCTTTAAAGCTTTATCATAGTTAAATAGATATTATATTTATATTTAACCAATTCCAAAGACTAAGCATTGTGGGGTACAAGGAATTTCAATAGGGTTAATGGCTTAAACAAGTCCATTAAGAAAAAAGAGAAAAAGCTTATTTTGTAAATATTTTGTATATTTATACAATGCCACTATGTGCGTATTTTAACCAAATATGAGTGAAGGATGAGTTTAGGATGAGTGGCGCGATCTTGTAGTCTTGTTAGTGACTAAGGCCTACATGTTCCTTAGACACAGATGTTAATTAATAGCCCATACAGCTAATGGCAACTAAGGGACCTACCGTTTATAGTGGAATCCGAACCAAATTTTTTTTTCTTTTAATTAACGAATTGGTCTAATTATCAGGATAGTACTGCGGATAGTCATAGGTACTCACTAGTGCGGACGTTAATCCACACCAGGGAGCATCGCATCCACCTTGCATGCCTATAAATATCCACAATTCGTATAAAAGGGGGGACATAACCGTATCTATATCATTATTATAGATATTTTTGAGGTTAATATAAATAATATTTATGCTTAGAACATAATAAACTCTTTAATTATATATTGCCCTAATACATGAGCCCAAAACGTTTAATTTGAGACATAAATAAGGTCTTTCGGGCAATTACTTCAAAAGATACAGCAAAAAATCTAAATTTCCAAGATGGCGGCCGTTTTTTCAAAATGGCGGCCGTTCCCCACCTGGGATTTCTTGGGACTTTGTGTGGGCCACTCAGGACATTGTTTTGAACATTTCCACCAATTTTCAGCCTGTTATCAATTTTGTCCGGGTCATAACCTAATTGCACTAGACTAAATAGCCAAAGAACTGTTCCTTTATTAAGAGTATTATTTTAAAGACATGATAGCACTTTACTTGAAAGAATCTCAAATTACTTCAAGTGAATACTCCAAAAATATTTGTTATTACATCGGGATAAAAATTTGTCCCTCCAGCACCTTTTAAAATTAAACAGAATTCAATTTCCATCACTTGAATTCATCTCAACTCCTCGGTCAAACTCCATCCTCTGGAACTACTTTGTCCACCCGTGTGTTCACTGACCTTTAGCGTATGAGAACTAGCCAACTAGAGGTTTCGCAAATGAAGACGTCTGATGCCTCTAATCCGTGACCCTGATGCAATATTAATGAGCTGTTCCCGACACAGCAGCTTATGAAATGCTTCACTTCCTTCCATCGACAAGTGTTTCAGATCAAGGCCTACCTCTTACGGTGTTGCAAAATACTTTAATTCCTTTCTGATCTGCTTATCTGATCACAGCGGTTCAGGCCACGCGAGAGGTGTTTAGCATGACCTGGGGTAACGCGTACATTTGTTGTGAAAGGTTATTTAGGGTGATTAGTAAATGGATGTCAAACCAGTTCGGTTTTAGGTTATGTAATCTACAAAGTATTGAGGTAATTGTAATTTGGTTTGGTTACCATGGTAATCACCAAGGGTTTCACCATCAAATGGTTTCTAACACGTTTAATAGCAACTAATTTTGCCGTCCTAAAAACCAGCTAAATATACTTTTGATACCAAGAATCTTGTTTTTAGCTAGTTTAGTTAACATAAAACATTTTTTTAAACAAAATACATTTTTACAAGAAAATTATTATGTTGAAGATATAATGCTCTATTGGTGTTGTTAATTGTGACAAAAAACTCTTTTAATTGTATCTACTTAATTTGATAAGGGTGAACCATAATGCCATAAGCAGAGTTTCATTATAAAGTATTCCTAACGTAATACTCCTAACATACCTACTCCTAATATACTTAACGGATATTCCTAACGTAAACAATGATATCTTGGCTTTATTCATTCTTGTAAAAAATGATTTCGGTGTCAAACGTTTTGTATTAGATTACAATGTACGTCTATGGCGCCGGAAAACTAAGACAACGATGATAACCTCGGATGGTTCTTTAGCCTGTCATTCAAAGGAATGAGTGCTTCACAATATGATATTTTCACTACACAGATTACATAGCGTTTTTGGACCGTAACCATGAGCATGTACTCCAGGATTCACAGCTGCCCAAGCCCGTCATTTCATCTCGTCAAGGCTACGAGGTGTCAAAGGCGGTGCCTAACTTCGTAAAACGTCTTCGTAATTGCGCAAACAAGCAAACAAACAGGCGAACATCAGCGTTGCGCGACCTTGGCCAGGCGAGTTCGGATACCCGCGAGAAGGTTGCGCAGAATTTACAAAATATCACTTTACAGAGCCAACATGAAATGCTCATGTGTATCCGCGATTTTGGCTTGGCGGAGTTGATGCGAACTGAAGTTTGGCAGGTTTCGTAAAGGTTTAGAAGTTGGTGTTTTGGTTTAAATTACGTATAATAATTTGGAATAGCTGCTTTGAAAATGTACAGTGAAAAAGTCAGTTTTAACTTTGCGTACGATCTTTACCATAGAGCATACTATACATCATACATCATAGAGATGCGACTATACACGTCCTCTACCATATAGCATATGTTTATAATAATTTGTAAAGAACTTCTGGGGAAAACCCATCATAACTCGAAGACCCTTAAAGACACAAAAAAATCGTTCCCTTAAAACTAATTACATGATTACACTAACGAACGTAAATGGAACTCTGTAAAAACAGGTAAAGTAATACGCGTAACCCGGTTGGATAAGAGGGACCGGTTTTGTAAATCCCGTGGATGTATTATTTATGAGGGCCTCGGGTTATCTCCCGCAAACAGCATTGACCCATCGTCAATCAGGGTGTTTAAAGTTTAAAGCCCATTCAAAACAATAAATAAGCGAGATGAACACTAACTCCGATCTCACGACGTGCTTTGGGAATCCAACTAAGAGAGATTACAGTTCCGTTTGCATGAGAGATTGGTCGATTAAATAGATGGGTAAGTAAATTCGTTGGTGTAAAAGTTATGATGACCTCTCGTCGTTTCGAGAATGACCGATAATGTTTATGTCCGATAAGGCTTGGGTACGTTACTGTCTTATTTAAAACTTAAATATTCTTTTACAATTACTAGTCCTCTAATGGTTAGACCTCTTTGACATTGCAACCAAAATTTGTATCAACTAATCAACTGTAGAAGACGTTTACTTTCTATGAAATGTCAGGAAACGCTTGCACCGCAGGATGTTCCTCATACAGGAAGGATCCTTCAGACACACGTAGGACGCAGGACCCATAACGCTCCGGGAAGTATGTCAGGATGTCGGGTTTGTTATGGTAAACAGGCGGCTTGCTATACCGTATACGACATGGTTGTCAATGTTTCACGAATCGTCATACCAGACGTGACTCATACTACGGTGTCTAAATAGAAAAATCGTACGATATGGGCCTATTACCCGGTGAACAGGTGTGAATTATAAACTAATTATTTGTTACAGTGCTGCCCGGTTTTACTATTATGAGTGTTTACAAATAAATTATGTTTATAGAATGCTGAAAACATAACAGTTGACTTACGTTGTTTATTGCATTTGTACTTGATCAATGTTATTGAGGGTGAAATTTTCAATTGTGTAAGAGGATTTTACACAAACAACTAAAAATTTACGAAATGGTTCAGGGGTAGCTTTATGGGCTGAAAAAAGGGGGGTGGGTTGAGGAGTGGTTTAAAACTGGCTGCCTCAGCTATCTTGTCACTGCTGTCCTTACTGGATTCTTTGTGTCAATTTTACAGTAAATATATTTTACTGTGCTTCCACAATATCAACAGTCTAAGGTGAAGGGCAGTTGAAGTTAAGAAAACAAAACTGTGGAGGGGCACAATTCAGGAACTTGGTTCTAAGATCAAAATAATTCGTTGGATAACATTGCGAACAACTCTTTCACCTCTTCATCATTCGGTTCTCTACCACCCTTGTTCGCACAACAGACTCATTTCCTGATTGTTAGTAGTTTTCCTTTTTAAAGACTTACAATCCACGAACCGTGTTCTAGGATCAAAATAGCTCATAAACATTGTAAACAATCCTCCCACCTCTTCATCAGTCTGTTATTTGCCACCCTTGTTGGCACCAAAGACACTTCCTGATTGCTAGTCCTTCGCAACCCAGAGTTACAGCTCAGGAACCTGAAAGTTCGATGACAGACCGTGGGCTGAGGACGTTGAGGTCGAACAGACCCACGTTACAATCAGCAGCTGGTTCATGTCGAATTGATTCATACCACCTGATCGAGCCTATAAATATACAAGTGCAAACCAGATAGGCGTGGCTTACAGTATAGCATTCCGCCACTCCTATCGGCAATACTATCGACCCACACACGGTATAATGCCCTCACATCGGTCCATTACGTCAAGCTAACAGACTGCGGTTACGTACAAGAATTCGGATTGTTCTGTGTATCTTGGATCTGTCACGCCCACCGTTGGTCAACGTTGGCTGGAGGACCTTTAGGAAGGGAACTCGTCAACCACCGGTAAAAATTAGGACGGTTGTAAGTGGAGTGGGTTGAGGAAAAGCAAGTCAACGGGACATCTTTGTGGCGGACAATTAATTTTCCTAACAGTTATATTTAGCATATTTAGTGTAAAACGTTGTATATTAATATTTGGTGGAAATAAACCTATACCTATGAGATGACGAACAATCAAGGACAATCCGAAAGTTAGACACCATTTAACCATAGATTGACCTGGAGCAAAAATGAGTATTCAAGAGTGAGAGTATATGTGTGTAGAATGTGTAAGAACATTGCGGTCTTCTAGGCTTCTAAAGTATTATCCAGTGGCATTTTATACAATCACAGCACTTTATCAATTCAGCCAACACAGTGTCAGTCTCAGTCGACTTGATGCGTGACGTCAGCAGATTGTAATCCTTGGTGTTGTATTTCAGAGGCTGTGTCTCTTCTCTCCGCACCGCTGGGTCTTTACTTCTCCTCTGGTGAGTACATTCAGATTACCGTAACTTACTCGATGCTATTATTTTACTGACGATTCTTCAAAGGAATTATTTCATCTAACTGAAATTACGTTGATTTCAAAACTAGGTAAGTTTTCCAGTATTTCGACTCTAATTTTTTCCAGTACTAATTTAATTTTGATGTTAAACCTGTCAGGTGAATGTAGGAATTGTTATAGAAATACGTTTTACCGGTAAATATAACGATGTTTTTTTTTAGATTAACACTTAATTGCTATTGATGGACTGTGAAACTTGTTAAATCCGCTCTAAATGCTGGAGAGCACAATATTTCTTGCCGCCACGTAATTTGTTTATCAACATGAGTACAAAACGAATATCATCGATTGTAAACCTACAAGCTTAAACTACACCTTTAAGTGTTATTTGTTTGTAAATTGCAGGAGTATCCAGTTGTCATTAGTGTGGTGAATTTCGCAACACCTATAACAAACAAGTTTTGAAAGCTATCGACCTTTTCAAGGTCAAGAAGCAAAATGTCAAAAATTGCTGTTTGATCTTACTTTTAAACCTTTTGGGAGAACAGCATTTATTTTCCTCTACCGGTGCTGTACTGAGAGTTGTTTAATTTAATTCCATAATTTGATTAATTTGAATCAAAAAACAAGTTGTCAATCATAGCAAGAGAAGAGTCAAACCCAGTTTGGATTTGAATAAATCGAATTTCCCTGTACTCCAGCATTCCTCGACAATCGTCGGATCACACAAATTACCATTTTTACTTTCCACCAACCGAACTCACGCTTCCACCCTCGACAAATGGCAAAGTTTACCTTCCCAGATCGGGGAGAGAACGGTTCCATTTAACCGTTTTCTCTTGTTTACCTCACGTTCGTCCGTGCATAATGAGAAGCCACCGCTGCTGATTAGCATGCTGCTGTGGAAGAGCTATCAGCAATCAGGTGTTACTCTTTGTTCGGTCTGCTGACGGTGTCGTGACTCCAATCAAATCCTATTGCTATCGTCCGGAACCGACGGTCGTCCGACACAATAACGTCACGATGGACGATGCGCAAGATACGTCATGTTACGTACTGAAGTCACGAGTGATTGGGACGAATTTATTGCTCAATTCGGAGGAAATTCTGAAGAAAAGGAAGGTTTTGGGCAACCGGTGGTTGACCTTAGTCTCTCTTTTATGTTTACAACACGAGCTGAGGTTAACTACTTCATGACTTCATTGAGGGGAACTATGTGGAGTCAACACATTAGGGGACTACAGAAAAATAGGTTTTTGTTAATGTCTTTCAATATTTTAGCATAACAATAAATTGGATACATATTTGTACCGAGAATGGGATCGACCCCGAATATACAAGGACATTTTTAGCAGCAAAAGCATGAAAAATTTACTGCAAAGACTATTTTGAAGCTCAAAACAAACGTGCTGCTAATCCTGTTCATTTGTTTTTATTTAAAAATTCAAGTAAATACATCACTAAAATATTATCTACTCATTTCTTTTCAACTCACCCGTTTTCAACAACACTCAATAAACATCAATTCTACGATTTCTCAAACACCCTCTAGAGAGCATATCCAAGTAGATGATGGAATAGCAAATTGAACACTTGCGATTCCGCAATGGCCTGACACATTTGAATGACCGATTGGCAAACAGAAGGTGAATTGACGTGAGAAACCTTTTGAAGAACTTCTAGAGCCGGGCCCGACAAAGATGGATTGTACGGCCAAGTGGTTCAAGTGGAATTGAGGTATCACCTGTTCGCGATTCACACGAGGCCAGTGTGGTAGCGAAAGTCTCAGTTGAGTCCGTAGGTGAGATGCGATCAGCAAATCTGACCATCAGCTGAGGCAATCCCATGACGTCATCTCACATGACCCAGAAGATGACGTCAACTCTGAGCTGGACTGGGTTGGGAGTTTGAAGTTCAGAGGTGAGATTTGCAATGATGTCGAACTTGATCAGGATGACGCGTCAGTTCTTGACAGTATGATTTCTTCGGTGAGATGTGTGCGTCTGATATACTGTATATATTTTTAATTCGATATGCCTACAGTTCTAAATATTATTTTGGTATTTATACTACATCACTATACGAGTATTTTGGTGTTTCTGTATTTCAGCCCAAATAATATGAATGTGGGATGGGTTAAATGGCGTGTAAAGATTAACTGTACTGCATAACACATTTGTTAAAAGTAATTTTGGACCTTTTCCGTCGATTCAGTGGAATGTGGATAGGTTAGGGTTCTCTAATTCTATACCACATACTAAACTCTATAAAAACCTAACCTAACCTAACCAAAGTTTAATACACTACCACTTAATGGTTAGGAACAGATGGGTTCTCTCCGATAAACCATCAAAAAATGCTGATGCCTTTTCTCAGATCAAACTGGTTAACTTCATTTTTAGGCGAGTAGTATGTACCCTGCTATATTATTTTAATTAATAGTGTTTATTATGATCATCAATAGGTAGTATGAAGTCCACAATAATAACCACGCTATTTTATAACCACTTTAAGCCAAATGGTATCACTAAATCAACAATACTCTACACGATCGTTTCAAACACATACATGATGGCTGGCTTATTTTAGAACGCTTGAAGAAAAACGTCGTGAGAAACTTACGATTCAGTGTACGAATCGGTTTCTTCAGCAACCGCGCCTCGGAGCTTTGTTTGACTAAAAAGTACTCGGTTTGGATGAGGATCACATACCCCGGTGGTCCTCAGACAAAACAAAGAGTCGCGTCGTATATGGAAGTGGTTTCCCGGCATTCCTCGCCGCCTAGCGATGCACATGCGCGTTGCACCGCGCTCAGTTTTGCGCATGCTCACCGCCGTCGGTGCAGATCTTTGATTTATCGCCGGGCCGAGTAATCGTTTTCGTCCATCAAGAATTCACCACGCAACCGATGAAGGTTGTGTTTTTTATTTGGCCAGACGATCGTCAGATTGGACCTGAAATACGCAATTAGTATGCTGCGTTGTGTTCAGGCGTGTTGGCTATCATGGCTACAGTTATGTTAGATTTCATCGGATATTTTAAGTTGATTTGAAATTTAGACTAAATAGCCAAGAGGGTGCGATAGCGTTATTTGGAGGCAGTTTGACAGGACTGTAAATTTGTAATGTTTTAGATGCGTATTCTTATTATCTTTTGTGTCCTATACATTCAATTTCCTACATACGTCAGTAAATCCTTTGGGCAAGGAACAATGCTTATAGAGAACGCACGCTTTGATAACCCGTCTATTCAAAGGTTCGTCCAACAGAGTTGTTATGAGTTGTGATTGTCGAACTTAAATGTTTTGAATTATAAGATCTCGACACTCAATTTTAAAAACGTCTCAGATTAAAAATCTAGACAGCCTACTTTAATTGCATAACTACTTGTAGCCTACTCTACTTCCTGTCCCGCCACGTCGTCTTAAGGGTGAGATCCTCTAGCATTTGCGGATATGCTTGAGGATGGCCTTGACAACTTTGAGAGGCCTCATTAATTTAAGATCCTAATCCACACTGTAATGAGGTCGTTGCCAAAACCTATCTACATCCTCTGTGAGAGAGACCACTCAGCTTTTGCAGACAAGTTCAGTATGACCTTGAATACTTCTTATCCCTTCCTTAGACTCCAGGCTTACCAGTTTCAGCCAATCGTCATTTTCTTTGCGACCACCCAGCATTACCGATATACCGAGTGTGTGATCGTGCTTCTTAAAGCACCAAGGCTGTCCAGCCACATTCCGCACTGAGCAGCACACGCTCACTTTTACACTATAAACATCTGTTGTGTCTCGCATGTGGTGTCAAGAGGTGAAAAGTGTGTTAGGTTGAGGCTGTTTTATGCTAATGGACAATAGATGTTGCACGATTTTCCTACATGCTTAGAAACGTTGGGGAGTTTATTGCTTGCTGTGTAGGTTTACAGTTATATAATGATACCGATGCTTTATTTATGGTGGAGTAGATGTTGGAATTGTGAAAAGTATTGTGGAGAACCATAGAGTGTTTAAGGTTTGGACTATTTTATAACTATTCTGAAGATGCAATAAGGATGTAGATAACAAGCCCATTACATTCTCTATCTATTGAGGTGAAAATAATGACTATAAGAATAAGAAGTTTTATGTTGATGGTAACTTAATAGATAACCTTTTTAGGCCTTTCCAATTTAAGGTGGGAAATGCCCATCTTAACTTTGATCCATAGTGCTTCCAGAGTTCATTACCCTTTTTAAGCAGTCAGAGGTTATATGGGCCAAGAGGTGGTTGGTGACTTGCGTCATTAACCAAGGGCTACGAATTCACCGCTGTACATTGTAGACAATGCGCTCACATCAGCTTGCGACGTTCACGCAATTAACGGCTTAATTGCGGTACAACACCGCTTGCTTGCGTCAGAGGAAGGTTCGATGCTCCTGTACAACTGTAAAAAGGCCGTTAGAACACGTCATTTTGAGTCTAGTCTTGTATCTACTTTGTGTATGCCTGTAATACTGTACTGATGCATGTAAGCTTGTACTTTTATTTCAGTATAGCTTCGTCTTTCCACAAACAAGGTGATGCAAAGAGGTCCACTTTCATGTGGTGGCATTTAGTAACTCCTTCAATAATCCTATCCAATAGACCTTTCGTGGGTAATACGCATTTCACCTCGATTTTCTGGTATTGGTCCTTTTCCATGAAGCTAGGTAGCCGACTGGTTCATCTTAAAACCAGCCGGGTGTTGGTTATCAGCAAATTTTTAGGTTACTGGTAACAGGGTCCATTTGGACGCTGAAGCCGTTTGTCATTGGGATATTAACTATCAACGCTATCTCATAATAGATCTACATTAAATAGTAATAAGGTACAAAATAAACACTCCTAAATTCACTAGCTTCACTATGCACAAAACACCACATATGTCCCTTGTTTTGAATTTAAATACCTTGCCACTAAAACGACTCAAAGTATTCGGCAACCAACAAATGCTCTGAAACAGAATC